GTGATCACAGTTCTCATGCTGTCATTTTTCCACTGAAATAATAAGCTAGCATTCTGGCTCATGATCAGTTTCAAAATGCCAAGCAGGCTCTGAACCCTTACAAAACTCACGTCTTACTTCCTTCAAAGTACACAGCTGAACTCCAGTTCCAAAATCCAATTTTTACCACCTTATTTGTTGTCCTCAGATCTGACTGTTTGACCTTGACTGGTCTTGCTCAGGGTACTTCCTATGACTATTTTCTCTGAAGCCACAGCCCACAGCACCACCTACTTCTATATCCTAAAGTCACAGTCTAGACACAGATTGAGGCTCCCACTTCATCCCATCTCCACTTGTTCTAGAAGGAATTTAGGAGGACTTGTGATTTTGTCTAATACAAATCAGTTCCAGAGTATTTGGCCACTATAGATGAACTAAAAGTTTCTGCACTAGCAGAATCTACAACAGATCCTGACACTGAAGGTCCTATCAGAAAATAGACCCACATAACACCTACATTGAAATTGCCAGGTCAACCAACACCAACCATGGTACTATAGAAGGCACAACTTTGAGACTACCTCAAAGAAGCATTTCTGCTGGACCAATGGAGCAGAACTTGTGGTCAGAGTTGGTTAGAAGAAATCACAAAGAAAGTTCTGCAAATGGACCAGAATCAGAAACTAATTAACAGTTTTTAGATGTGAGCAACATACAAAGTTCCTCATATGCCAGTCTCTTCTGTTGCCTCATTTACAGGAGCTGACCAAGGTCAGCAGCAGCATCTTTATAAAGAAATACAGTGAAAAATAGTTAATTATATTTTACATGATTTCCCAAAGCTACTGTAGACAAAAATTGCTTTGTAATCTTGGCCATCACCTCAGACCCAATGTACACAGAAGTAATCTGAAATCTAACCTGGATTGTCCATAATCAACATTTTACTTGCTCAATTATAAAGGTATTATAAATAGCAAACATCACAGTCATCTTCCCTTTCTTAGGAATGCCAGTATAAAGGTAGCTGAATAATACAGATCAAAGATGGCAAATAACCGTGCTATCACCTTCCCCCATTGTTTTTCTGCTCCTAGTAGTCCTTACCACCAAGTTCTCCTGAGGTCTAAGAATTCTTATAATGCCTCATATCAAGGAGTCACTACCAAGTGAATAGATTGAAAAGAGTAAAAACATAGTGGTCATTCCTGTCCTAGATAGTTATCACACACCTTAGAAGCCAGAAAATGTTTTTTTCATGTTTTTTCACATAGAAGACTCATACATCTCATAGTGGGTGATGATGTCTTTCCAACTTCTAAATCAAAATATCCAAATAAATAAGCTCTACATACTATACCCCTATCTGAAAATGTAAAAGATAAACATCAAGATATTTGTCTACAGGCTTGCTACTGCAATTATAATCCTTAGAAAAGCAACACCAGCATCACCTGGGAGCTTGTTAGCACTGCAGAATTTCAGTCCTCACCTGGTTTTACTATATTGGAATCTTCATTTAATGATCCATGGATGATTCATGTGCATATTAAGTTTCCCTAGATTAGAGGACATAGAACAAAACACAATTTCTTCCATCTGAATAGCCTAAACATTTTTGGGTTTTTTGGGTTTTGTTTTGTTGTTTTTTTTTTTTTTTTTTTTTTTTTGGGGGGGGGTGGTTGAACCCAGGAGCACTTAACCACTGGGCCACATACCCAGCCCAGGAACAATTCATCTAAGGGTATAATAAAGGAAGGGAGGGAAACATTCAGGTTTCTAGTTCCCTTTACTTAATTACAGTTATCCTTGTTTCTGCAAAAATAAATGCCAAAAACAATAATAATAAAAAGCAAAAATGACAAAAAGTTTAATTAAAGTTATCAGTGAACATTACTATTTCAGTGAAAGACTAAATATTTCACTTAAGACAAATATGCATCCTATATGGGAGATAACACAGCCCAGTCTAGGGCTATCTCCTACTTCAGGATCTGAAATCTTTAAATTTGCAGTTTCAGAAACAGGTGACTTGGGACTACATCCATAGATGATTAGCCTCAAAAGACTGGCTTAACCTCACTTGAGATATTCCTGATGGGAATGGAGGAAACCTTTTCAGTGGCCAGCAAACTATATTCATAGTCTAAGAAAACAAATTCTTAGTAGGTATAGAAGGATGAAATAAGCAAAAGGTAATTAGGGGAGGAGCATGCATAAAGGGAGACAGGTAACAAATACTTCGAGGGCTCCACTATTTCTAAGGTCTATGCATTCCATTACTTTTCCTTACTTAACAAGGTCTTTCTTTGACAAGTAACAAGAAAACCAATTAGCCTTTAGCTTTCTTAGTAAAAATTCATTCTAGCTTGCCTCTGCCAATTGGAATTGGGCACTCCCAAATGGCCACAGTCACAACTTAACAAGCAGCCAACCCCCAGACACTCCTATAATCCAGGGGATGGAGTTGTAGCTCAGTGGCATAGCACTTACCTAGCATGTGTGAGGCACTGGATTCAATTCTCAGCAACACATAAACATAAGTAAATAAAATAAAGGTATTTTGACCATCTACAACTAAAAAAATCAATTTTTAAAATACTCAGGCAACTTAACGTTGGTTTGTAATAGAATACTCATTCACAAAAGACAACCTACCTTCTTTCCAAGTTCTGGAGACACCTACTCAGTCCTCTACATTCCTATTTATAGTGCTGCAGATATTTTCACAATTAAGAGTTCTACAGAGGATTCGTGTACTTCATAACTGGATTTCTGAAAGCTTTAATGATAGCTGAGAACTATGTTGCTTATGTTTGTATATGAACTTATTGAAGTTTAAAACATAAGAGCAATGATATTATGAAGCTCTTCAGAAAAGAAATAGGAGGCATTGATACAGCTAGGAGATTAAAGAAAAGGGCTGTATTAATTTCCTTACTAAATATTGATTGTTCACTGTCTATATTAGGAGCATCTGCTCAATTATAAATAAGGGAAGGCCAGGGCCAAATGCAGTAGGTTACACAATTAAGTATATGTGCAAAGTGGAGGACATCGTATTTCTGACTCATCTGAATATATTATAATTTTATTTATCCACTGAAGTAGCTCAATTAAATTACCTAAGAGCTAAAGTCTTTAAACCCAAGAAAGTCTCACTTCGGTAACTATCATAATTGCCTTAAGAAACAATGTCAAATAACATTATACAGTCAACTCTTAATTATGCATGTGAAGAGAGCCCAGGGATACTAGGATAATTGGCATTCACAAGTAATCTTCAAATTTCATTTTAACTAAAAGTTAAAGCCTCTCCCATGACTAAACCTCTTCCCCGAACATTGAATAGAGCAAAACTGACTGCTTAAATGTTTAACTTTGCTATCCCCTGACTGACTTCTGATTCAAACACAAAATAGTAATCAGTCAACCAGAGAGATGGAAGAAAAGCAAATGAGCCAGATAATTCACAAATTGGATAATAGAATTCTGAAGTTTGAGTTACTTATATTTATGTGTTAATGTGATTATTTGAAGAAGACAAGGTTTGCAAACTGCTACATGTTGGCAGCTGTGACTCAGTGATCTCCCTGCAAATTAAGTAAATTGGATTTTCACTGTTGGAATCCTATCATTTCATAACATTGGAATCCTATCATCTATTTTACAAAGATATCTGCAAAAAGTTTATCTTATTGTGGTACTCTCATGTTAAGAACTAAATATTCATAGAAATTATTTTACTGCAGACAAATATGACAAGATGCTTGGTGGTTGTTTGCTAGTTAAGGACATTGGAAAACTATACTTGACATAGATAAGCTCAGAAAGAATTGCTAGTTAAGGACACTGGAAAACTATACTTGACATAGATAAGCTCAGAAAGAATAATCTGAACCATTTTTAATTTGAAAGGAGTATTACTGGAAAAAAAAACAGACTGTTAGGGCTATGAAAAAAAATTTGTGACATTAAATCACACATATCTTTCATTCCAACGGATTTCGAAACATTTAAACTTATATTCCTGTAAATATCATTTTTACATCCAATAAAATATGACATATTTTCTGTAATCATTCCACTAAATTCTTTATGGCTTCTTAAAAGCGTGGATTTGTACTGAGACTGAGTCAGGACAGGTTAATCGGCCTGCCAAAGTCCACAAAAAAAATAATTGCTGGATCTCTAACATCTTGAATTAAAAGCAGGGGGATAGTTGGACAAAAAAAAGGGGGGGAGGGGATTTTGGCGTTTGATACCTTTAGGAGTAGACTATATACCCATTTCTCTCTTATTTGCCCAAAGAAAGGCGTTAGATATATTTTTCCCACAAACCCTCCAAGTCTATCCAGTTCCATTAACCTATACACCTAGAGGAAGGGAACTCTTATTAAAGGCTTAAAAATAAACAATGAACCTAATTATCCATATATGGTTATTCAATTTTGGTCGCACAGGAAAATAGCTATTGTTGTTGTTGTTGTAGTAGTTATTATTTAGCCAAAATTTAAAGAATTCAGAAAGGTGATGCTACTGAGATAAATCATTTAAGCACAGACAACCAGACCACCTACAGGATCATGGGTGAGAGAATCTGAGCTTCAGCTCATTAGAGCCCAAGGACAGAAGTCTTTCCCTACTCTCTTGGCATTTCCCAAGTTAACTTATTGTGACAGTTATCTAAAAGCTTGATGATTTATTTAGGAAACCCATTAAGTGAAAGGTGGGTTGAGACACTTTAACATAAAAAGCAACCCTCTATCCAACACGTATGGAGTGGTTGCTAAGTTCGAGGTCCTGGAAGGTCTCCTAACTCTTCTTCTAAGAGGAACATTCCTAAAGGGAGAAATACAGTGAATGGCTATTAGGAGTCCGCGGTAGCAAGACTCCACCTTGAGGTCCCACAACCTCTGGGCCTGCTGGGTTACCCCAGCCTCCACAGACTACCCCTCACCCTCAACACGCGTCCCCACAGCCGAGCGCTGAGGGCCACGCCTACACGGGAAGGATACGCTCCAAGTAGTAGGCGCCCTCGGCGGCCACCGCATCCCCCACGTCCCCGTCTGCCGTCAAACCCATGCCCAAAGCTTCTTCCAGGTCCCGCAGAGCGGAGTCGGGCGCGCCTGCCTGAGCAGCCATCAGCCCTGCTCCTGGCCTCCGCCCCTGGCGGGCCCACTGTCGTCTCTAAGGGCAACTGCGGGCGAGATCGCTTTCCGACAGCCCCACGCAGCTCTCGCGAGATCCCAGCACTCCCCGGGGCCAGTCCCGGGCACAGCAAAGCTGACCACGCGGGTGCGCTTCCCCAGTTACTAGGGTAACGCCGTTGCCTAGTTACCACGGAACTCAGCGAGCCGCTGCAGGAGTGGATGAGAGGCTAGAAACTGTGGGCTTGGATTACATCTTCTGACTGAGACAGCTGGGTTTCCTTTCGCTTTGACCCTATCATTTCCTTCTCACTTCGTTTTCTTCCCTAAATTGCCTTTCTCTTGGCTCTTATGTGCCCATTATCAGTGCCCGAATTTTAGATGTATGTAGAGTTCAATATACTCAATGCCTGGAAGAAAAAATAAAGTTTTAGAAATCATAATTGAGAAGTTGACCCAGGAGAACTACCAGACGGTACTCAGACGCTCAGCAATCAAGAATGAGGGCGATTGCCTTAGTCAATTCCTTTCTTCATTCTTTAATGCGTTTATCTAGACATCCATTTTTCAGTTTGGTTTCAAACCCTGGGACTTAGGGTAGTATTTGATTGGTTTTGATAAGACAAAGCTACATGCATGGCCCTACAGAAAGTATAATAGATGCTCTTTGCCCAATCATGTGCAGTTCTATTGCTGACAGAGTCTTAATTTATACTGTGTATATATCAGAAGCATTTTTTAAGACCTTTTCCTCTGCAGATTCTTCTTTATTCTACATTTCTTAATATCAATGTTAAACAGTGACTCTATGAAGCTCTCATTTATTACCAAAAGTAGTGGGAGCTTTCTAAGGAGGTGATTTGAGAACCTTGATGTTGGAGCCAAAGAGGCTGCCAATCAGAACCTGGTTCCACCACTTACTCTCCGTGAAACCTTGGATACTGTCCTATGCACTACTTAATGCTTCTAGGCTTCAGTTCCCTCATTTACAAAATGGTGATAATATTACCCACCTCAATGTGTTGTTGTTAGGATTAAAACAACATAAAACATTAAGAATTTACTATACATAGTAACACTAAGAGATAGCAGTTATTTCTATTACATCTAATTGATTTTTGCTATGTTTTGTTTTTAGAATAAACAAGAGTCACAACTGCACATGATAGGTGGAGAGTTGCAAAGTATTTATTCTTACCTAACCTACTCTTTGTCATTGAGTTCTCACATCAACATATCCTGAGTGTTCCTTAAATGCAAGGAACAATTACAGGGAGCTGAAAATGTAGGAGAAGTTTTTTGAAACTGGGAAATTCACTGCTTTTAGACAAAGTCTGCTCTTTGTTTCAAAGTGAGGCATTACCTCAACTCTCAAGGTTGTTTTCTGTAAATCCAGCCCTGAAAAATGACCTGGGTAAGGAGTGGTCTGGGCCTTGCGCTTTTGGCACACCCAGCAATACATGTAGAAACCTGAGAGCTACAAAGCAGGGTCTCTCAGAACAATTAATGTTTACTTTTACTTATTTTGTCTGTTACATCAGCTCCTTTTTCTTGATTCTTAGATGTAGTATGTCTTCTTCTACAGATAGACTTGTATACTAGCCCTCCTGTGTTACCTTATTAACTTAAGCTCTCTAAGACTTAGTTTCCTATTCTCTAAAACAGTGGGTTTAAATATCTAGCTTACTAAATATAGAGTACCTGAAATAAGTGAAAAACATTTAACATATCTGGTATATGTTAAATGTAATAAGTAATTGGAAAAAAAATGCTAAAAATATTGAGTGAATATGCCAAGCCCAAACTGGATATTATATTTGTAAGGAATTTATATGAGCAGTTTTGAGATAAAATATAAATATTTTAGAAATATTTAGTATATTTAAAAGGTAAATAGTTTAATATAGTTATAAAAAAATATGACTGGTATCCACTGCATAAGGCAGAGAAGAAGTAGGAAAGATTCTTGTCAAAAGGGCTTAAAAGTAAGTTTTGTAACTCTAAGAAGTATCACTAACTACCTCCCAAAAAAAGTAAACCTGTGAGTTTATTTCTCTAAAAATTCCAAATAACTAAGGTTTTAATTGAGTTACCAATCTGTTTATGTCCATATAATGTATTGCAAATTTAAAGGTTACAAAATGATGATAATATCTGTGGCAAGTATCTGTGGTATCTGTGGCAAAACTACAGTCTGCAACACACTTTAGAGACCTAACCATCAATGCTTTTAAAAATTTTAATTAAAAGAAACTTTAACATTTTATTTTGTAAATCTTAACAAATGAAAACAGAATCAGTGATCGCTATTATCTTAGAAGTTGTATGTCTTTGTAAGGAATGAACTTTAAACAAAAAGATTTTATGCTAGAATTCTCATTCTGCTAATTGCTGCTTTATTTAGAAAGGGGTGTAAAGGCCTTATTAATGGACAATAGAAAAATGTAGATCACAGTAGTGGTTTGAATTATAATTCATTTTTATCCTATAGTCTTTCCTTTTTAGTATATTTTACAAACTTCCTTAAATGGTGGGGTGGGGGGAGAAAGTGCCTTAACGTTTTGATGAATGAACAGCAACCTTTCTACTTTCTTTTTAAGTCTGTTTCTGAAAGAGGTAAATAAGGAAACCAATGGAGACAGTAAAAATGAAGCATCACAAAGGACAAATTTTATCTCCTCTTGCCGCAGTCTGGCTGAGCACAAATCACGAGCCACGAGCCATTTGATTTGTGCCCAGCCAGACTGCGGCATCCTCTGAGTCTAAATGCTCCATTTATGCAAAAGTGAAATTATTTTTAAAAGCAAAACCAGAAAAGAATCTGACAATGGATGTACTATCTGCATTTATACTTTCAAAGCAAAGAATACACATATGCAAATATATACTAAAGTAGTATTCAATTTTGAGAAGTTATAGGCATTCATTTGCTATAATAGAGCCCAAACCATTTACTGATATATCTTTTATAAAAGAAGCTGTCTTATTTTTTTCCAAAAGTTCACAGTAAGTGGTAGCCACTTTTAAAATTCCTGAATTCATAGAAGTAGTAATAATTATGGTATTAAATTATCAAATTTTGAAGCATACAGTACATATTTTTCCTTTTACACTACCATCCATTTAAAACTCCTTTATCCCATATTCTTTGCCCATTTGGTTCAAAGAGTGGTCAATCCAGTATCTCTGATGAAAAGTCCATGATACAGACTTAACTAAAAAGCACATCTTATTTCTAAAATGGAATTCCCAATTCATTTCTCAGTGAAATTTTCTGGAGTTGACATGTTTTTTTTAAAAAAAAAATGTCAAATTCCAGCTGGTAGAAATTTGTTGGGGATTCTGGAAAACAGACTCCTATTCTCTCCCTCTGGTTTAAGTTCAGAGTTTGCTATAGCCACCTTGCAAGTATGAAGAAAGTTTCTAAAAATTGCATCAACAGGGAAGGACTAGGTAAAAGAAAGAGAAAATCATTTGAATCCTAATACACACACCTATATTCCCTTGCTCATCCATGTGGGAAAGCCCAGAAGCAACACATCCCTATAAAAATGAGCACACCTAGCATCCCAACATTAGTTTCTAATATTCTCCAATAAAAGGAATGAGGGCCTCTTAGAGAAACATCTGAATGTAGGACTAAGCCAGAAATATACAAGATGACATTAGAGAGTCTTACAGTGCAAAAGTAAAAATATTCTCCCCTACTAAAAATTTCACAGTGATGAGGATATATAAAATGGACAGAACAACCAACTGAAAGAGCTCCAATGGACAAAACTAGGACAATTTGAGCAACAAAATTAATACAACAGTATTGGAGTATAGTTCACAATACAAAATATCTATGAATCCACACTGATATAAATGATTGGCAAATAAATGGGGAAGAATGGACTACATTTCTGTGAAGAATAACTATAAATAATTTATATAGACGCTCCATATTCCAGGAGGTGGAGCATGACAGCCATTTCTGTGGTGTGGGCTACTTATAATGAGTCCCTTTCAAAAAGCATAGTATGGAATGTGGGACTGGCCTGGTAGGTGGGGGTCCCAGTGTCACAGAAGAGAAAGCTGAAAACCACTACCTCAACCTGTTGATCAAGACTAGTGTCAACAGTGATAAGTTGTGTTCCCAGTACATACCATTCACATGGTACGATGAAAATGGCATTTCACTTTTGCAGTCTTACTCCCCTAAAAACATAACTCCAGATAATCATAAAAACACATTAAACAAGGGCTTTAAGCTTGGAAGATCCTAGTGAAGACCTGATGACTCCACTCCTGCCTGCACCTGCTTGCTGCCTCACTTCAGCCAGGAGTGCCCACCAGCACCCCTCAGAGGTCAGATCTTCCAAAGGTCTTTATCTGGGAGATGCCTAGCTATTGCACAATGCTTTACTATAAGACCCACAACAAAGACTGGAAGCTGAACTGATTTCCTCTACATAGCAAAGAAAGATTTGAAAAGTGGTTAAAGACTATGAAAGGGAATAATTGGGTTCCTAGTAAATACCAGTTCCTGTGTAGTAACCATTTACTCCTGACTCTTCTGACATGGGATGGGGTATTCATCATCTAAAACAAATCGAAATTTCAACAATATTTTCCTTGCCTAAAGACTTTCAGGGTAAAGACCCTTCAAAAAAAAGTCTCAGAAGAAAAAATTGGAAGATGAGAAAAGCCATGTTAGAAGAATCATTTGCATCAAATGAGACAAAAAAAATTATAGTTACCACAATTGTGCTTCTGAACATTCAAAATTGCTTGATTCTTCTGCCATGATGAAGCCACCAGTTCTAAAGCCAAGAAGCATACAAAATAAAATATTAACTCTTAATCTAGTTGAGCAAAACATGGAAAAACTAGAATCTACCCTGTAAATATCAATTAAAACCAAGGTTTAAGTATAGTAGGATATCACACATCTTTTGAGAATCAAAATTATGCAACTTTTACTTTGGCAACTTCAAATTCAAAAGGAATTCAGCAGTTTTTGAAAACCCAAGAAATACTTGAAGTAACTACCAATCATCTTGCTAATCCACACTTTAGAAACAATTCCATG